GCAGCAGCTGGCGGCCAAAATCGTGACGGAGAGAAGAAAAATAGTGACGTGTTCAACGACGACCCCAGCGGATTTTGCCGTTGCCACCAGTCCGAGCTTCACACCAACGAGCAGTGTCGTCTCCAGCAGCAACTGCGGCGCGCGCGTTCGAGAGAGGGCGCCGCGGAACGCCGCGGTAGCCAGCGAGGGGGTAGACCGCCGCCGGGGCCAGGCCGCGGCGGCGGCCCATGGGTGAGGCTAGAAGGGCAGCAGCAGCACCACACCGGTCATGGTGGCGGTGGCTGGAGCCAAGCCTCACCCCCGCCGAGACCTCTTCGTGGACGTGGGCCTGGTGGTCGTCTGGGGCGTCACCCGGGGGGTCGTGGGCCCGCGGGACGCCACAGCAGCGACGGGCGTGCCGAGAGGGAACGGGCAGAGAGAGGCCCGGGGCACGCGCGTTCTGGCCACGGAAGAGAGCAGGCGTACGTTGTGTACCACGCCCACGATGATGGTGGCTACTACGAAGACTTCGGCGACGGTACGCCCACTACGCCGGCGGTGGGGACAGCTACAGCTACCTCTCAGGGTACGAAGACAGCCGTTCATCTGACGGCGGCATCCACTACGTGTACTACCTCCTGCCGGCGAAGATTCGTCATCCGAGCAACAACGTCAGCCCCCCTCCGCGAGAAGCAGCCCCACCGCTTCCTCCTCGTCCTCTACACCTTCTCCTGGCGCGCCTCCATCTTCGGGCTACCTCCACCTCTGCACGGCACAATCGGTGCCCCTAGGCAAGTCTCACCCGGACGATTTTTTTAGTAGGATAGGAGTGACGATTGGAGTATAGTCTGCTGCGTCTGCTTCGTCTTCGCTGAGTGTGAAATCTAGTGAGGGGGCGCCTGGTAGCGAGAGATGGGTAGCTGACTCAGGAGCCAGCAACAGTTTCACCAACAGCAGCCTACACATGTATAACCTGCAAGATATCCCCGCCAGTAGGAAGAATGTCGTTGTAGGTGATGGTCGACTGCTACAAGTGCAAGCCATCGGTAGTATTAATCTTAGTTTCTTTCAGGAGGATGAGAATGGTGAGAAAACGACGATGTGTGTGAAGCTCACTGACGTGTCTGTTGTAGAGAGCCTGAGTTTCAACTTGTTCTCAACGCATGCTTTTTCTCTGAAGCAACCAATCCTCTACGACGAACGTGGTGCAACCCTACAAAATGGGCTGCTCTTTGCTAGAGAGGAAAAAGCGTCTGCAGCATATGCCATGCGGTTGCCGTACGACCCATCTGCGACTATTGTAGGCCCTGCTGCTTTGCCCGCATTCGTGACTGCCCCCGATTCCGCCCCCGCCGTTGGCTCCGCGCGTTCCCCTTCCCAAAAGGGGGGCTCCGCAAAATCATTGGTGTCCGTTTTGCGTATTCCTTCCGCAGGCTCTGCTACCGTAGTACCTTAGAGTGAGGGCGTCC